GGTTACTAGAAGCGATGCACTTGTTACTACTAGCTTCTTGTTACTACACCAACATTGACAGCATTGGAACTTCATCATTTCCAAAGAAACACCACACGCATTCACCATATCTCGCTCTCGCCCGCCGTCCGTTGGAACCAGCGCTTCCAAGGGGCAGCAAACGTTCGGTGATCGCTTCGGTGTGGAGCTGAGCCCACGGAGTTTCCCTATGGAGCTCAGCAAACGTCCTTCTTCAGGAAAGCGATATGTTTGTGCACCACATCGGCATCGTCACGCAGGCGCGTATAGTTGTGTGTTATGCAAGGAGGGCAGAAAGCACAAGCTAGGCTCGACCTGATTTCAAGTTTAGTCTTTTGAATGCCAGGCGAAGATAGACTTCGATCATCCCAGCGACATCGAATGGATTCTGAAGCCAGAGAGCGAGAGGCAACGTGACATCGTGGCAAAGATTTGACTCTTTTCAACACAATCTCACATGATCTCGACCTTGAAGCACAAATTGATTGGAGTGCCCATGCTTTGGCTGGCTGGGCCTGATTTCTGTTTGGCAAAGCTGCAACGATGGTGGTTGCAGGTGGGTCCAATCCATCAGCAGTGACCACCCCATGCTGGCCATTCAAAGCCGTACAAAGGGGAAGTGGCTAAGCTGCATACCTTTTGATCATTTTGATCACTATGCAAATAGTTCTTTACTTTAATTGCAAGTGACATCTCCGAGTCTCTGAGTTCAAAGGGGCTTCCAAAGGAGTTCAGATGAGAAATAAGACAAACATCAAAGATCTTCACGCAAGGTGTGATACTCCACATGACCTCACGGAGCTCCGGTGGACGGCCCAGCGGTCTGAAGAGGTCTTTTAATAGCAATGGCCTCCAACCTAGTAGGAATGGCCTCCAACCTAATAGCGATGGCCTTCAACCTAATAGCGATGGCCTCCATGATTTGAAAGATGGCGAACACTTGAAATTTGATGGATTGAGGATGAAATATGACGGAATTCTCGTGGGCACCGTCAAGCAGCAGAAGTTTGTAAACTCTGATGAGGAAGCGTCAAGCCATTCACTGTTTGATTGGCCGGGCCCACATCAAACTTTGGGTTGTGCTCAGTAGCGCCAAACTGGAGCTGTAATTACCACATTCACATCTCCAGCAAGGTTCCTCTAGATTCCTCCAATCTCATTGCGACATTGCATAGTTTGATGCTGTCCTGTGCTGGGTATTGGGTTTCAAAGGCTCATTCACACAATAACTTGAACTGTTGAACGTATTTTGGCGGACACAAATGCTGCTCGCATTGTGGAGCAACTTTCACGAGCACTCAGTCCACTATGATGCTTCCTGGATACGTCACACGATATGAGGGAACATGGGATAATATTGGAAAGAATGATCGATGTTTCAAAGTGTAAAAGATGGCGGAGCTGCCGCGCTTCGAAATCTTCGAACCGCAACGCCAGGATTTGAGGTCCTATTTGGGTGTCAGAATCTGAGTGCGTACGGTGGTGGGTGCACCTCAGCGCACAGTGCATTTGTAAGGTGCAGATGGATCTCAACAAGCTTAAGGCAGAGATGGACCGTGAAATCTGATTCTATTGCCATCTTAGCAGTAATGGAGATGAATGGAGTATGAACAGTAAGTATGAATCACAGGTAGTTATTTTACCTCCCGAAGCTTTTGCGGCCCATCTCGACCATGGCATTCTTCACGGCTGTGTTCTTGAGTGTGCTCACGACACCTGGCAGCGGCAGCGGCTGTGATGGATGCGACGCGGCTGCGCTCCTCCAACACCGCCGCCACGGCGGCGCCCGCGGTGGCGCCCGTGGCGGCCTGGCGCTCGCACTGGCCGGCGGCGGCTTCAAAGCTCAGGCGGCTTACGCAGGGATTCTTCCAGCGCTGATGAACGCCACTGAAAGCCTGGAGGAGTTGATGCAGTCAGTTGAGGTGAGCAGGCTGCAAAAATTGTGAATTGATGTGAGTTGTATGATTTTCAAGGGCGCAACTTTGTTCCAGACTGAGCTTGCTCCAGACATAACACTATCATATTATCATATTAATTGTGTCAGGGCCCCATTCCATGTGCCCATCAGGAAACAGACACAGCACAAAAGACATTTTTACGATCATTAGACACGGTCACCAAAGCAGCAGAAGGCTTGAAGGGGTGTTGCATTCAGGTGATTTCCTCGGCCAGTGCAGGAGGTTGGTTTTTTAGTTTATTGGCCTACTCGCCGAGCTATTTGAATCTGACCCGGCAAATGGCTGAGACGCCCACTGCGGCGGGTGAGCTCTACTGGTCGCAGTACCTCGAAAAGTTTTTGCTCGGCTTGGGGATTGATCCCAAGGCCTCGAAGATCGCAGCTCGAGAGCTAGCTGATGGGCCTGGTCCGACAAATGCCAAAGTCCAAGACGTTGTAGAGATTATGCTGGAATGGGCTTGGGCGACTCAAGGCATCGAAAGCAAAGATTGGAATGACTTCATCCAAGTACTCTTGACCGCCGGCCACTTAACTGGCCAGGAGTATTTGGGATCTCCGGTGAACCCATGGGCCTCGGGAAAAACATGGCTCGCGGGAACTTCGTTCTCAACACCTGGTCCTGGTGGTAAGGGCCCAGGTACTTGTCATGACAATCCCAACGCTTCAGGCTTCCTGTGTTTGTCTCCTTCACCCTTGGAAGCTTTGGTCTATGGAAATACCACACAGAACTCTCTCTCCTATTCCTGTGAAGGCAACCCTCCTTGGACTCCTGCACGTTTCAGCGTGGTCATGGGAAGCGGCCGAGATCAAGACTCGCCCTTGAGCACGTGTCCAAGTTGCGATGGCATTCAGCTGAAGTATACCCACCAAGCTACGACGGCCCCGATCGACTCGGTGATGGAATCTCCGATCTGGAACAGTAACCTGCCACTGGTGGATGCGGTGTCAAGCTCCTCAGCATTTCTGGGTTTGGTTCTCATCTTGCCATTCTTTGATGCCAAGGATTTGAAGACCCTCAGTGACCATCTCGCCAATTTGGTGGCCAGTTTGCCCTTCTTGGACACAGAATTCCAAGAACACCTTGCAAGTAACATTTTTAAGTTCTTGACCTTTGATTGGACCATGTGGTGCATGACTGCCTCTTCTTCGTCCAGTGCCTTTCGTGATGCCAATGAGTTGGTGGAAGATGTGAGGGACAGTGGAGGGAAGCTGAGCCCAAAAGGTTTCAAGAACTTAGCACAGCAACGTTTGATGGGTCTGGCAGATGGTACTTACACCGACAACTCAGGGATTGCCCACGCGGTGAGTTCGGGAGCCCAGGAGATCATTTATTTGGGGCTTACCAGCTCGGGAGACATGGCTCGAGACCTGTATCGGCTGTGTGGGGGCGAAAAGAGCGATCTTCAGGTCGTTGAAGTGGCAGATTTGAACTTCTGTCCCTTTTGTGAAGCTGACTTTCAAGTCTTCAAGGAAGATGTCTCTGCTCTTCGGAAGACGTTGGAGGAGGTGTCTCAGCTGTTTGAAATCTCCTCTCAAGCTTCCACACTCACAAGCATGCGAGTAGCCAGCGTCAATCTCACCACCGTCCAGAGCAGCTACTTCGACATCGAAGCAGACCGAGCCATTCTTCTTCACATGGTGGTGATCGAAAGCCCTTTATACATTGGTGGCTGGGCATATTCAGACTACGCCACCTTTGTGCAAGATATCATTGATACATTTCAGACTTCTAAGAACCAACACCTAGTGAAGCGGATCCTCAGCTGGTTTCGACCCCAAAGCGGGACCATATGATGAAGTGTGAGGCCGCGATGAGGTTTTTCTGGAACCTATGCAGCCACAAGTGTTGCCAACGTGTGATTCAACACATGGGAAGAAAAGAAGGCTCTCACTGATGCTTGCTTGATGTTGTTTCAATGAAACAGGTCAGTCCAATTGTCCTGCTTGGAGATTTGCCATTGATTCACAAGTTGTATTTCCAGAAGTTATACTCACGCCAGTACTCACCGCCAGGAAAAGGTTGGCATGGTTCTCGAAGACGAGGACGCGATCGAGCACCGACTTCCTACAGAAGGTCTTGTGATGATGTTGATGTGTTTGGCCTGGAGTGGCGTGGCAGATTTGGAGACCACACAGAGACTTGCACAGATTTGGACCATTCCAGTGTACTGTTCTGCTTGATTTGCTTGCCGGTTCCCTTGATCTGCCCACCTTTCAAGGTCAAAGCACTTTGATGACCTCGTCTGAGCATCATCGCCACTGGAGACGTTTCACCAAGGCCAGGCCACGCTTGTTTGACACCGGATGAAACTTGCTGAAGAGCAAGTCAGACACCAACATGACGAAGTATGGCAAAGGTGGAGTTTTCTGAAGTCTTTCAATCATGAATTTCCCTAGGACCCTAGGAGCAAGAAGCTACTAGGGGCTCCTGGCCTTACTACTAGGAGCAAAGGACGCCATATCTGTGCCTTTCGCACGAACGCTTTGGTCGCACGAAGGCGATGCGCAGCCACGCCGATGAGCCGGATTCCGGGCAAATGAACGGATACCCCTCGGAGTGGAACTTGATGGATGTGAGCCGCGACATGTTTTGCGATCATTGGCTCCCTTGGGCGAACACGACCATATGGCAGATATATACGTACGTACAATTTTTTTAATTATGAGGTATATTATATGCAGAAATGCAGTAGCAGGTAAAGGTAGGTAAGCTAGTAGGTGAACTTTGTGCCAGGTGAAGAAGTACTTGGCCCAGCATTCTTGGTGGTTGAGACTCCACAGAGCTGGCCTTAGTCGCAGACCAGAAGTGTGACTTGGAAAAGGTAGCGGTCGGATCCACCTATCTGTTTTCGAGGCTGGGATACAGAGCGAGAGGCGAGCAAGGCAGAACCAGAACCTGCCTCACCGTCCACAACCATTCCAGTCTCCGTGGATGACAGTCCCCATTGATCCACAGTTCACTTCTTTCTGAGTGACTTCGAAGAGTGCTGACTGAAGGTAGCCACAGAAATGGCAGCAAAGCCTGCATTGAAGCTGCCACACAAGTGGTCAAGTGCTTTGCAAACACGCGAAGCTTGCTTCACTGGAAAAGAACGGTTTGGAAACGCCACGCCCTCGTGGCCTTCAGACTCTTGTCTCTGAGCAGTTTGGACTCTTCAAGCCAGCAGACTTGGCTCAGCTTGGCTGGTGTGCAACATGGTTACTTTGCAGCAAGATCAGTGTCAAATCAGTTCCCCTACTGAGCCGACAGTGCCGATTCAACCAGCTGGCAGTGCCTTAGTTAGAGCATAGACTAGACATGGAAAGCAAAGGTTGAGCAGTCTTGAGCACTCGAAACGATGAGAGCAGTTCATGGTGGGACGAGAAGGACAAATGCGATTCAGCAACACTCCTTTCTCTCCCCAACTGATCATCAAACATATCTCAACAATTCCTGGCCACTCAAAACAAAAGATCTGACATGAAACCTTAGTATCACTTAGCTGACTTTTCCACTGAACGAGACTTCAGCTTTCGTGCTTTCCGTTCCCAGTGTCCAGGACGTCCAGTCAGCTGTCCTTGCTCCATCCCACGGAAACTGCGATGGTGCTCAAGGTGAGGGTCCTGCGGGTCCTGCGGGTCCTGCACCTTTTTGACCAATGAATTCCAAAGAGCTTTGCTTGTTGCTGAGAGAACTCGTTCTTAAATGCAGACACTTGTCCATTGTGAGATCATAGAATCGATCCTTTTCGCCGTGGTCCAGTCACAACCAGCCATCACCCTTTGAGCACTCAAGATAGCACTAAGAAATGACGAATCAACAATCCTGGTCGACTTCTGTTGTTTCTACAAAGGCTAGATTGGCAAAGAGCCCAGCGAACCTGACTGCAGCACCAGCTCGTTTCGCTAGACAGCCTGCTGTCTTTATTCCTAATTCTACTGAGCTTTCATATTCCGTTGGTGCAATCTCTGCCTATCAGCAAATCGTGAACTCTATGACAAGTTATTCAAATAACAGGACACCCGCTTTCTCGGATCGCCCCCATGGATGGCTTCGGACCCTCCGAACGCATGGGAGAGCCTGGGCGAGCAGAGTTTGCGATCCTAATTAGGAAGAAAGGAGAAACACAAGAATGATATATTTTTCTTCAATCATGTTTAATAAACACGTCTGTTTTGTTCCAATTTACTTTCAATACTTTTGCCTCCCAAGTTGTTGGGAGACTGACTGCATGCACTGCATGGTAGAGCCTTTGTCACCACAGCAGGAAATCAAGAGAAGGCTTCCAGATTCGGCGAAGTTTATGTACTTCATATTTTCGACTTTCGAGATCATGCCACGACAGCTAAGCCTTTTTCCTTCACATGTCGTGTGAGGGTTTGGGTTAACGGTTAGCTTCATGAAAATCTCTAGAACACACTGAAAAAGACCATGGCATCTCAGTATACTTCAGTTTATTTTGACCGGTTTCCACCAGCCCAGTCTTTTTTCGGTCTGTGTCGAGCGACCACTTCGCCCAGGATCGGACGGGAGCGAAGCAGAAGCCCTCGGATTTCAACGTGTCCGGTGGCAGGTTGTGGGAAAGGTGCTGCGAATGCCGTGGGCGGCTCAGAAGAGAAACACCAAGTTGTGAAGAAGTCATCCCTGAGCGCAAAATAGATTCAAGTCAATTCTAGTGCAGATCAGTTGGGGGCGGTGCCAAGTGCTTCAGAGTGGCTTGGTGTACAGGTGGGCGAGATTTCGCTGCAAGGGATGGAGGCGCGACGTGTCTTCTTTCCTCGGAATGTTGACGTTGCTGGGTGTGCAAGGCCAATGGATGCTGTCCCGGAGCTTGCGGCTGCTCGCCCATGATGGGACCTGGTCCCATGATGAATCCCATGATGCAGATGCAGCAGATGCAAATGATGCAGATGCAGCAGATGCAGCAGAGACTTTGCTCCAGCTAGAGTAATTGTGCTCCAGTTAGAGTGTTTGCAGGCAAACAAACATTTTAGTTGAATCTCCTCAAGGGCTCAGACTCAGGATGGTCGGGATGGGCATGATGATGGGAAACATGCTCAACATGATGAGCGGAGTTTCCAGCGCAGTTCCCAGCTTCGACAACAGCCTGTCTGTTCCCCGTGTCCAGCCACAAGAAGTCGAAGAAGAGGACGGCGGGAGGGCAACTTGACACAGGTTAAGTGCTGCTTGCTGTTATGATGTGATCAATCAATGATCCGATGTGATCAATGCTCAAGACATTGCTTTCAACAGAGAATGAACAAACAACACTTTCCCTGACTTGGTTCGAGTCTTTTCTTCTCTAAGGGATATTCTTCAAGCCATGTTCTGTCAATATCTTGACATGTAGCTCATGCCTTGCTGCCCTACATTTCGCTTCAGGAGATCGACATTCCTCCAGGTGGCTTGTGCATGCTGCTTTCCAAACGTGTCAAGAAAACGTATGAAAACGCCGCATGCTCGCCTTGTCGCTTTCACATGCTGTTATCTTGGCATATCTGATCGACCTCAGGAGCCTCTTCAACCGTTGGACACCCCAACTATCGCCCCCCGGAGTCCGAACAGCTGCTCGGCGCGGAGCGCTACCCGACCCACCGGACTGCTCGGTGCGGCGGGACCAAGGATTCCCGGCATCACCGACCAGCGCTTTGAAGGCAAAATCAAAGTCTGGTGGGAATCCAAGGGGCACGGCCTCATTGAATGCGAAGAGGCACATGGAGTGTGCACGTGACGGCGCTTGCTTGGTCTTGAAGGTTGATATGTCTACATAGAGCGAATAAGTTTTAACCATCGATTTTGCATGAAGCAGTGGTTGTTGACCATTTGTTGGCTGATTCGGGCAGGTCCGCTTGAAGTTCCCTGGGCAAGATGGCGTCTTCCTGCACGACTCGCAGCGGCGGCACTTCAAAAAGGGGGACGCGGTGACCTTCGCGGTGTGCCTCGGAAGCAACGAACGGCCGAAGGCCACGGCGCCAGTTCGGATGGGATGCTCCGAGGTTCGTGAACTTCAGAGGTCGACCACAAGCGACGGAGCTAAGACGTCGGACTGAAAAAAGAAGCTCGCACTGGGACTGTGAAGAAAGAAGGACCATTTATATATCTATATTGATTATACAATATTATGCATGTTGGGGAAGTGTCTCGTGTTGGAAAAAGGCCATGCATCACGCTTGAATCCATGTGAGATCCATCAACTGCACAACGTCCGACTTGAGGCCAGAGCGACTTGGGCGGCCAGATGCCACGAACTCAGCATAAAGACAAAGTTGTTATTAAGAAAAGACTGTTCAAGTCGTTCATTGACGCGCTTAAGTTCAGATGCTTGTCATCTAAGTTTGTGACCAAGTTGAGTTAGTTGCTGTCAATCGTTCCTCACTTGAACATGTTTTCAATAAGATTGCACTAGCAGTCACTACCTGTGCCAACAGTTGTGCGGTAAGAAAGAGTAGTGGGGAGGTTCCAAAAGGTTCCCACAAGGACCGTGAAGGATGGGGAGGTCAAGTTCGGAACTTGCTCACAAGAAAAGAGAGAAGACAAGACAAAGAATAGAGAGAACTCCAAGAGGAGACTTTGATGTTGTGTATTCTTGATGGGGAGAACACTTGCTAACCCAAGCAGCCAAATGATATCCTGCTTCGTTGTGAGAATAACAGTTTCAGAGCCAGGTAAATGTATAATTCTCTAAGGGGAAGCCGAGGGAACCGGGAAGCAAAAGAGAAGGAAAAGGAAAAGGACATCAGAGCAAAGGAAAAGGACAGAAGCAAGCGCAAAAGACTTCAGACCTCTGGGAGGGGTGATATTTGCTGTTGCAGTGGAGTTTGTTACTATACGCAGACAACAACGAACATTGGATGCACATGTTTATTGAGTATCAGGTCGCTTTGTATAATTCAGGGCCCTTGGATTCGCTGTGGCTGTGACTCACCACTGTTCCTTGGTCCTTGGTCACTAGATAAGATGTCACTGGGTTGCTTTGTCAAGACATCCAACCTACTAGCAACGGCCTCCAACCTACTAGCAATGGCCTCCAACCTACTAGCATTGGCCTCCAACCTAATAGCATTGACCTCCAAGGTCTGTTTGGTCCACGTGTCCCAGTCTGCCCATGGATCTTCCGTGGAGGTGCGAGTCGCAGCGGCTTCGCAGCAGTCGCGATTCCGTCCGTTGGCAGCGGAGCCGAGATCTGTTGCCGGGAAGGTCCTTGCTGATGGTGAAGCTTCAAGGCTGGCCCATGTGCAGCACTCGCACTGCCATTCGCACGACTTTGTATCCCAAGTCGCTTTGATATTTTGCCACAACCAGGCTAAGAGCTACGTACCCACTTTTCATTTGGAAGATTTAGTAAGGATCGTTCCAGCTCTCCAGTCCTCGAACCGATGAACCACCCTGCGGCCGATGAACCACCACAGGAACACAGACGACAAGGGCAACGGCCATGGCCACGTGACCTTCTCTGCATGGCGCCGACCCTCCTTGCGCCAGCTACGTGAGTTCAGCCTGCAGGTGCCCCATCACATCCTACATGTTTCTACAAGTTTTAAGATCCCAATATTGCAATTATATAAGATAATTACTGCATGTAGGACATCCCAGTTCTAGGGCCTCCAGAATTTGCTTTCATCAAGTGCTTCCCTTCGACATGTTTTTATTTCATCAGAAACTCTGGCTCAGACTTACTGCTGATATGTGCAGGGGGTGAAATTCTATGCCTTCACCGTTCCACACGAGAACACCATACAGGCCGGATCTCACTTTGTTGTGAGAGAGAGAGGGAGTGAGCTGTGGAATCGTCGGATGTTGTAGGTGGCAGTGTGGAGACAACTTGGTGATGTGGTAGCAGCAGGATACAGGCGATACTTCTGGAACGCCGTAGAAGTGTTGTGTGTAGAACATGGATCATCCCAATTCTTCTGGAGGTCTTCCTTCGATTCCTCTTTGCCGATTTTGGCCCTATTCTTGGTATTTTCCCTTATGCATGGTAGGTCGTCTAGTGTTACGGTTGTAAGAGCCAACCGACCGGAACACCTGAAGCAGTGCTTGCGGATCACCCTTGATTCTGGCGATACTCAGGTGAAAGTGGTGGCTCCGGAAGACTCACTTAGTCCTGGGAGGACTCACTCCGTTGGATTTTGCGTCTAGTGGAAAGTGAGGCTCACAAGCTATAGACAGTGTTATCCTCTAGTGCTTGCGAGGATAGCGGCGCGGATTGGACCCCTAGCAGACCTCTACCAGCGGAAACCCTTTGACAGGACTGGGTGGATTTTGTATGTCATAAATATGTTTTTGCTGGCATTTGATGTACATGATTTCAATAGTGAGGACACCTATTTCGGCTTTTTGTACCGATAGACAAACAATGTTCGCATTAACGCAGGAAGACTTGGGTCTATTGGGAATCCTTCTGGGTGCCAGGCCTGGCTTCGTAAAAGTCATGGTGTGGTTGGGGATCGAACCTGTCGCACGGAAGGGCGCCTGTCTCACCAGCTGGTGGGTTGAGTACAATTGATAGCTGCAGACGTAGGCCTACCAATTTGGAGCTTGCAGGGGTTTATGAACATGCCTTTCATCAAAGGGGGCAACTTAAGAGATGAGATGATAGGAATGGCTCGCTGGCAGTTGTGTGCATGTTTAACGAATTTATTCCCATGTATACTGCACCCCGCAGCCTGTGGCTCCGAAACATCATATTCTCTATGGTATTGATGTGTTGCAATGCCAAGGGCAAGTTTGCGATGCACCAGCATGTCGGAAAGCTGCGGTGCAGTTTGTGTGGACACTCTGCATCAGTTTGTGCTGCTGGCCAGGTTATGTCGAGTGGGCTGTGTTACCATGCATGAAGATTAGTTTACTGTAGTAGTTTGCTGTCATTGAAGAGGAAACGCGTCTTGACTTCCCTTTAATCTGAGCTTGTAAAGTGGGTAGACTATTCGCTTCACTTCAGAGTGCCCCACGGCCAGATGAGTTCGGTTGATGCAACTGCGTCCATTCATTCTGACAGTCGCTCTCAGTGCTCACCAGGCCTGGCCTGCGCGAATCTCCGCCGTTGCTTTAGCTGTCTTTGCCTCAGAGCTCTAAGAGTATTTCGGTATTTCAGCTAAAGCTGGTGTCCAACTTGTGGAGTCCAGCCACCGCAAGCTGGTCGCACGACGGGGGTGCAACAAACCTGTAAAATGCTCTCGCAATTCCGAGCCATCGCCACATCAACCCTAGATGAATTGAGCCAGCGCGTGCTACAAACAAGTCTAGTTCTATGGCTCTATGGCCCGTTCGTGAACGAGAAATCCAACTCGCAGAGGTGGAGTTGCAATCGTTTTCCGCGTTTTGCATTGTAATTGTTCCTTCCCCTCTTCGGGATGCAGCGAGGTGGCAGGGAGAGTATCCCCTATGCGGATTGGAGCTACAGCGATTGTGGCGACAGTGACGGTGGTGATGATCCGTCGTTGTCAGACGGACATCCTGCTGATCCAGGCGCTGATGGGACGATGATTCTTGCTTCAAGTAGCAGGTTTTGATTTCCGGTTGGGCTTTCTTTGTGGAACTAGGGCAATATACTGGGGGTTTGGGTGAGGAATGAAGTCGTCATTGTAAGACTTATACCCTCAAGCTTTTAAAGAACAAGGTTGTCCTTGCTTCTCAAATGAGCTTCCTGCGTTTCTGGCTTTCGCTGTTTTGCGTTTCTGGGCCTACCAATCGGCCCTCAGAAGTAAACACCAAATGCATTGGAGACGCCAACCTGTCAAGCTGATATCATTTGAGGCAGCGCGCTCCCAGCTAAAGCTTTCATTTCAGTAGTCCTGAGGCCTGGTTCTACGGCAAGCTCAATGGCGGCCGACTCATCGGCAGGGAGCTTGGGGAAAGATGACGCCACGCCTAGCAGCGGGCAACAGCAGAGAGGCCTCCCAGCGCCAGACTGACTCTCTCAGTGGCTGGCTTGCTTTGCTTTGCTCCCTTCTCTTTGCCCTGTATACCTTCCCTGCTCTTGCATGTTCTTGCCTGTATGCCTTTGTACTACCTGTTGACCAATTTCTAGTGACATGCCTTGGTATGCATGTTGTAGTACTGTACCTATGTAACAGAACCAGAACTAGAACCCTAAGACAGTCTTATCGTCTTGAACAGTCATATCTAGTTCAGTACAAACCGACCTAAACCAATCTAATCAAATCTAACGAACAACCAATCTAGCTAAACCAATCTGATCTAACCGGGACTTGTATGTATGTCTCTATGTCTGTGGTTTGCCAAATCCACCCGTGTTGCGTGAGCTGCCGCTGCATGGGAGCGATCCCACGGCAACACGTCAAGGCCCCGAAGAGAGCGTGGTTCTGTGCAGTCGTGTGGCCCGACGACTTGTTCCACACGCCTCGTGCAGCAGAAAAATTGCCTTGCTTGAGCGGGTGTGTGTGTGTGTGTGCGTGTGTGGCGAGTGTTTGAGGCTAGGCAGTTGATGTGGCATCAGTCAACATACTAACTCAGGCGTGACCTTGGTATTGGCACCGATGTCGGAGTTTGTGATAAGGTTGACTGTGTGTAGCCTCACGCGACGCGGCGCCAGGCAAAGTGGGAAAGATGTGCCTGAAGTCTTTCCAGCATGGTTGGTGCACTTTTTAAGAGCCGGGCTGGTGGCAAGACATCTTCTGAGGCCCTTGGAAGCGCAGTCTTCCGTAGTGCTGTACGCTGGACAGGTGGTGGCGCTGTTGGAGTGGGGAGCGCTTCCAACGTGTTGCGCCTTGAAGCCGCCCTATGTTGCACGTTTTTTGTGATTTCAGGTGCCACGGCCACGTCATTCTGCAGCAGTGTCAACTCAGGCGGCCGTTCTTGTTTCATTTGAGTTCACATTGTTGTGGGACTCTGGCAGGACCTTGCAGCACTTGAATCGAAGGCACCGTGTCGTTTATTTTTCCGTGTGTTCTGTTTGACTGTCCTGTTTTTTGCCGCGTATTTTGTGACGCTTTACATTGTTTCGGTCTTTCAAAACGAACAACTTCAGTGCTGTCCACAGGCCCACGCCTTTGCTGACATCTACCGCAGGGGAGTTCACGTGACCTGTTTTCATTTGGTTGGACCTTCAACACGAGGAGGGCCATTGCAAGGCAGGGACCCACAATTTCCGTATCTTGTTGAACAGCCAGGTCTGGCCTGGAATTTGTTCCCGGTCTGGACCTGGGTGTGCCACTCAGATTGTTTCAGCGGATTTGTTGTTTGTCATCACGACTTCATGGCCATGGGTATCGGGTTATGTGTTCCAGCCATTTGCCACCACAAAGCAGGATGTCTATGATTCATGTGCCACTTAGGGTAAAAAAATTGTTGCTGCTTTAAAGAGGGCAAACAAAGATGCACTTGTGACAACATGTTCAAGAGTTCGCAGTGGCATAGTGGCATCACTACAGTGCAGCATACGGAGCCAATCATGTCCGAATCCAACAATTTCTATTTGGAGACCGCTCACAGTGTCACAGCACCAAATGTGGCTGATGGTGGGAACCTAGCTTTCTAGTGCGCTCCTCAGAGCAATTGTGGAGGTCTGACTTGGCACATTGTTGACGTATTTTTTGGTCAGTCTGATTTGAGCCGTTCTAGGCCACATGATCCAGATGCTTTCAAAATATTGATGGACACAGTTATCCAAGGAAAAACGTATGGCATTTGTGTTTTCTCAGTCTTTTCAGTGTCTGAGGCATGGCAGGAAAGGTTTCCGTCTACACAAAGGGTGCAGAGGAGGCATTTGTTTCTCAAATGCTTTGCGGTTTTGGACCGAATCTGCTGGGCCCTACTAGGCACTGTGAGTCAACATGCATGGCTCGGGAACCGTGCCTTGCAGAAAAGATTCATTTATATATAATTAATATAATGCTTTTGGGAGTGGAGATTGAGTGTATGCGTGGCCCAGATTGTTTGCCAGGTGCCACAAGACCGGGCACGTTTGCTGGCAGGTGCCCAGGACGGCTCCTGGATAGACCTATCCTTGACAGGCTCTACGCAAGTTGCATTCGGAATCTGGAGCGTGTTGCCTTGTCGACAATCCAAATAGGATCGTTGGAGAAACTCTGGGTAGGCTCGAAAAACATTCACCAAAAACAGATGGTTGACATTATGAGCCGAATGCAGGAGGCTTTGTTTTCTGCTCCCAGCAATGAGGCCTGCCACAATCAAAGATTGAAAGACGTCTCCTGTGGGCTAGAGCAGACCTCCATGATGGATCCACAAATCCAATCCCAGCTGCCTGGACAGGTTCGTCACCAAGAATCCTTCGAAGGCGCAATAGTTTCTAGGATCGTTTGAAGTTGGCGTGAAACTGTCATGCAGCAACTCGGTGACTTCTGCCGGAGAAGGAAGCGAGACTTGGGATCCAGTGGGGCTCTCAGCGCACAAGCATCTGACCGAATTGTTGCAAGATGGTACAACAATGCATTTTGGAGATACAAAACCTGCAAAAACACCATAGGGGACCACCCTTTTGTGAGTCAAATGTTTCTTCCAGGCTTCAACACAGTTTCAGACTTCTAAGCTGACTGGCGCGACTGACGGCGTGATCAGATTTTGTAGGGATGCGCCGCTGAGTCCTTGGCAGACTTGCCGGAGGATCATCCTGAAGAGGCTTGGCAGAGAACACATTTTCTCCTGATAGGGAGTGTACTTATTGGGCTGCGAGACAGGATCCAGAAGATGATGAGGCAGTGTACCTCTCTGAGGAGGGGCTGGTGTGATGGAAAGCCTTCTTTGGCAGCCGCTTTGTCTTTGGATGACTCGGTTTTGGACTCCAAGCTTAAGCGAGATCCTGCATTCTTCGCTGGTTTAGGGTAGTTGCTACAGCAAGGTTTGACTCAAGATTCGCAGGTCCAAGAGATGTATTGACCATGCGTTCTGTTGCAATGAAAGGCCCATCGGGAATGGGAGAAGCACTACCTTCGCCGTTTGGCCATGAGGGTACGCTTAAGAATGTCCGTGTCAAGAATGGTTGGTGCTGTCATGTGTTTTCTAGATTTTTGTCTATTTCTTATCAACTTCTTATTTTTTTTCTCCTTCTTCTTCTTATTCTTGCTTTTCTGTTCTTTGCGAGACAACTGTTGTGAGCGATGGTGAGATACATCGCATGCTGGCCGCTGAGCTTGATCGTTCTGAAGAGGCCGATCACGTTCGCTCCGAACGTGGACAGAACGGTTCGGTTTACAGTGGGCCGCGGGCGGCATTTTGACAAAACCTCTGCTGAGCATTCGGCTGAATGACAATCATGAGCCTTTTTGGAAAGGAAACCAGGTTGGAGCTGGGAATCGTGAGGATAATCCATCGCGTTTGCATGTTTGCCTTTCATGTCGTTCGTGCATTGGACCCCTCGGGAGGCTCTCTTCGCCATCTTCGTGCAGTATGATGTGAACCTTGATGGTCAAGTCCGGGGAGACGAATCTTCCCAGCTTCTCAAGGCAATTTGCTGCACTTACGAGAAGGGTTTGGTTTAGAAGAAACGAATCAACAAAATTAAACAACATAGTTATAAGAAAGGGAATTCTTTTTTAGGGTTTAGGGAGACTGATCCAGCTGGTTCGATCCAACGTCTCGATGAGTCTCACTGCCTCGTCTGGACAACAGGCCATCGAAGATGTGGCACCTGGAAGTCTCAGCGAGAATTCGCCTGCCGGAAAGGATCGGAGCGATGTTTCCAGCGATGTTTCCCGATGATTTCCCGTTTCTCGCCAACTGCATAGAACTATCATGAATTGTTAACGATTTTTGTTCTGAAAGATCCAAGTCCTTGTCAGGATGGCAACATTTCTTTGGTGTCCTTGCTGCGCTGGTACAACAAGCACATACATCAGGCATTGCGGACAGGGTTCAAGAGCTTAAGAAATCTTATCGGCCAACCAAGCAGCCGCGCAAAAAGATTTTGTGCCCGAGCAGCCAGTCGAGCTTCAGCTTCAGTGCCACCACGCTTTTGACCGGCGTGCTTGGCAGCGGCATGGTGGGCTGTGATGCTCGACTTCAGGCCAGACATCTTGATCCTTAGGTAAGGTAGAGCAGATAGAGCGGGTAAAGCTGTGCTTCATCTTCTTTTGAACAGATAGTGTACAGTAGACATCCATGGATGGAAGCCAGAACGCTTTTCGACTCCTCTTCTTTGGCGATAACCGCTGAGATGCTTTTTGTTTGGGGAGTGGAGGGCTCTTTTTGCTCACTGACGTCTGAGAGCCTTCTGGCCACTTGAACACAGAGTTTGGGAGGACAACATGCAGTTTGACTTCAGACAGAGGGATCCTTATCCAACAATTTTTCACACATTATCAATACAATCGCATACTATCAAGCACCTTAATTCAAAAACAATGCCGACGGTGTGAGTGTGAGATTTCACTGTCCAGGGCCTCGACTGGATTCCTCTTCGGAGAAACGTGGCATGGCTGAAGATGGCCTTGCACTCTTGGAGCTTTCCTCTCTGGGTTATCCTTGGCGGGTGAGCTTGTCTTTGCTTCAGAGTGTGGTCTTTTTCTTGCACCTTCCTGTCCGAGGACCCGGTCAACGAGCAAAATGTGTTGTTTTTGGTTCGAGATTGGTACGGTGCGGCATTCTGCGCTCTGGCCACACTGAAGGTCATGGGCTATCGGCGAATCTACAGCCAACTGCGGGAGTTGAAGGCCACGTTGGATGTGCTAGCTGCGGGAGTCGTAAGTGCCCTGCAGATCGCTGCAGTGAGTTTGCGCCTTTGCAGGAAGAGAAACTGTTGTCCATCGTCCAGGACAAAGAGAGGCTGCCTGAGAGAAAGAGGGCGTCAACCCATCAAATGCCATACTGATCATACTGGTAGCTTAGTGTTGCCACATCCAGTTTGCAAGATATAGGATGTGAGAAGGTAACTTAGGGTCTCCCTCCAGTATTGGCATAGACATAATTCCTTCATGTTGATGTATCTTCAGCACGTACACATTCTGTATGTTTGGACGCTACTAGGGGCTCCTGGCCTGGAGCAAAGACGCTACTTGGGGCTCCTGGCCTTACTACTAGGAGCAAGGACGCTAGTAGGGGCTTTTGGCATCGCTATTAGGAGCAAGGACGCTACTAGGCACACCATTCTGGGTGGGAAGCAAAAAGTTGCCGGTGCCGTTCAACACCAAAAGTGGTCGTAGCGGACGAGACCATGCGGATGTCAAGCAGCGAAACATGTCGAACGTTGAACTCGGACCCGCTCGGGCAGTCAAAATGGCCTCCTGGAGACGATGCCCGAGCCGAAGCCCCAAAGAGGCGAAGGTGGTTAGACATGTCATGCTGTGGTCGTGCTTGAAATTGCAATCAAAGGTCGTTTTCTAGAAAGTTTCTCAGATTTTCTCAGTGTTTGTCCCGTTTCTTTTTGCAGGAGCATTCCGTTGCTGTATGTCAGTAGCACGTTTAAGCCACTTTTGGTTGTCATCTTCGGTTCAAGTATTGGTCGCAACTTTCCCGAGCAGTGGCTTTGTATTGCTATGTTGCTTGGAGGTAGTTTGATGGTCACTGATCAACCGCCAGTCTGAAGACGTAACTCTGTACTAGGGCCACAGGATCCTCAGGATGCGATGTAAGCAAGTCAACCATGATGCACCCATAGAGGGTACATTAGTGACTTCAGCATGACAGCAATGATTGCAAACCAAACTTGCGCTGCGGAATGGCCGCCAGATAGAGTAATTGAAGTACTGTGGATGTAACATGATATACTGTAGTACGTAACTCAATCGCCAAACAAGTGGCTGTGAACAACAAGCCAACAATTGGATAAGGTACTATCGCCTCTTGGCGAAGGAGTTTGAGGGCGATATGGAACTACTTTTTGAGCTCTTCTGTGAGGCACATGACTTTGGGGAGTCAACCGCATCTCCACTTGGTCAATTTTTTGAGCACAATGGAAAGACATGGGCGGAAGCAACGGACATCTGAAAGATCCTCCAATGAATTGCTTGGATCTCTGATGTCTATCTCATCTTTCACTAGGTTGATGAATCCAACAACCTTCTACTGGAGGAGAGGGAGGCTAGAGAGTGACGGAGCTGGTCTTGACTTGTTGCAAATAGTTTGATGTAGTACGTAATAACTCATTAGGCTGATGTCAGACGCTGTTTGATGTTTGTGCAAATCCTTTAGCGTTTCCAACCTCCAGAAACGCTTGTCCAACTCGATTGACGAACAATTGGTCGATGTCAG